AAGAGATCGGAGGCAGACATCGGTATACCCACACAGATCGAGATTTCGTAAATTGATCCAAACCCAATAAGCCAACCAGTGATAATGGACAACCAACCAATGGGAGGCCGACAAGGCCATCAGAGCTTTGATACGGTAGAGCGCTCTGGACCTGCTTGTCGTCCTCTGGACTTTCCAGCTCCCGTGGTTCTGCGTGGTGTTCGGGTAAATGCCTGCTTGGTGGTCCACTTGCAATCGGGCACTCGACAAGTCTGTTCGGGCGTCATCCATCGTGAAGATCTCAGTGGCAATCAAGAGCCTCTACCTTCTGGTGGAGATTCAAATTCAGCGTTATCTCATGGGCCTCCGCGAAGGTCATCTAGAGTGGGTCCGGATGGCGAGGGGCCCAGAGAAGTCTTGGCCTATTGGCCTCATCGGCAGTTACAAGACGCAATTTATGGGAGTGTCTGGTGTTGTCTGGTATTGAGGAGGCACCACGGCGTGGCCGCTGACGATGCTGCCAGGGCTGCTGGAGTCGAGCCTGGCTCTCCGAACGCCCCAATAGTTTGGGAAATCTCTGGAGACATGGTGGCCATTAAAATGGTGGAATGGGAACGTGTCTTTAGAATGAGAGGCCGTTTATTGGAAGATCCCGTCAAGGAAGTAGCTGCCATGCAGTTATTAGGATGCAATCACCCCCATGTCCTTGGCAGTTCCGAAGTCCTACAAGATGATAATTATTTGTATTCGGTCATGCCCTACTGTCGGGGCGGTGATCTGTTCAGTGTTGTAGTGGAATACGCCGAGGCCAATGGCGGAGAGATTGGTATGCCCGAGCCTGTGGCCCGTTTTTGGTTTCGACAAATTTTGAGTGTAAGTTTTGACAGCTGTGATGTGCAGCTACGTTCTCTTGTCTTTTGTGCCAATCAATTACGGAAACGACCTGACCTGTTCCGCTTCTCCCTCCAACATTTTTTTGCCATCTTAGGGTCTCCAACACTTGCAAGAACAAGGAGTTTGTCATCGTGATCTTTCGCTGGAGAATGTGCTGGTTGATGCGGATAACTGTTTGGTGATTGATATGGGGATGTGCCTTCGTGTCCCCTACAACGATCCAGACAGCCTCGGAGTTACCGATGTCACTCGCGGCAACCTCCGTCGGCTCATGAAACCTCAGGGGACATGTGGAAAGCACAATTACATGTCCCCAGAGGTGTACGAGAACCTCAACGATTTTGATGGATTTGCCATTGACTTGTGGGCCGCTGGAGTTATCTTGTACATTATGCTGACTGGGTTCCCTCCGTACGACAATGCTGTTCGTACCGATTTGCGATTCGAATTGATTGTGTCGGGTCGTCTGATGGAACAGCTCCGTAATTGGGAGATTATGGTGAGCGACGAAGCGGGTGATTTGATGCAGAGTATGCTGCAGATGAACCCGAGAGACCGTCTTACACTTTCGGAGGTCATGAACCATCCGTGGGTGACCAATGAAAATGTGGAACCTCCCCCGCCACAAGAAACCGTGATGTTCCATTAAAATGGAACCAAGATCGAGACAATCATCTCCCTCCCTTGCGACTTCTAGCTAGCGTAAAAAGAGTTTTACAGTAGCTGGCAAGTGTGTGTCCCTTTAACGATTACCGGTAGTTTTGGATGAAACTGGAAATTATGAACCCGTTTGAAGGGAAATGGGTCTGGTCGAAACGTTTCGTTTAGGGATCATCTCAATAACTGAGGTAGCCAAGGTCTCAAACCGGATAGTTCAGCCAATAGTGGCTCGAAGCCGGAGTAGATGATACTACTGGAACAGTTGGGTGGTGTAGAAAGAACCAATGGACTTTTCCTTTATTAAACTTAAGAACTAATTGCCCACCAAAACGAAAGGATTACTAGATCTTCTAACTGCAAAAGAAAGTATCTGAAGCTAGCTAGTACATGTAGAAGGCAGCAGCTCGCAGACTCGTCTCTGGCAACTAAATATCATCGTAACCGGACCAACAAATTGTTAAAATCACGAGGCAACGCCCTTTTACCATCTGTGGGAACGTTCTTCTGCTGCGGAAGCTCCAGCAGCGGCGGCGATGACACCGTAAGTGAGGACAGCGCAGCCACCAGGGTACAGGATGTAAGTAGGGGCACGGTCAATCACCTATATCGCAGTGAGAGTGGTGTTGATGCAAGGCAAGTGAGCATGCTCCTAGTCGACTAGCTGGAACGGAACTGGAAATCGAAATAAGACATCAATTTGACACACCTTCTTGGGGAAAGTCTTCAACCATGGACCGATAGGGTGGATTTCATGAGCAGAAATATGGCGTGTGATCTGTGCGGAAGGGAGATGCATTCGATTAGCGACAGGTACAAGTGCACAAGTGAATTCTCATCTTATCCACAAAGGCCCTTGCTCAACACGCAAACGTACCTCTCCATCGCATGCCTTTTTCTTGGCCCACCATTTGACCTTGTCAGCAGCTACAGGCCTGAGGACGGGGCCCCTGACGGCCGCGGTTCGAGCAAAGGCACCAGAGAAGCTCATGGTTGAGTGTTGTGTGAGGTCGGGTCGTCGATTGGGGGCGTTGCTGTTTTGCTGTTGGCTGTTGCGTCACAGCGTCATCACAGCCACAAAGATCGTTGCGTTGTATCCTGCAGAGCTGTTAAATAGATTGCCTTGGGTCTTACGATACATGTAGGCACCAGGTACCAGTAGCTACTCCGTACAGGACCTGTACGGTGCCGGTGCAGCAAATCGTATCATACGTACGGTACAGTGTAGGTTTATCCCTCTCGCATCTCTAACCAAGAGACCGCCTCCAACTTGGCTATAATATCCAATGATCAGGGTGGGGAATGGCCGAAGAAAGTGTCATGCATCTCAGTACCAGTAACAACTGAAGACAAAGTTTATGGGTGGAGGTTCCAAATCAAAGGAAACAAAGCGGCAAAGGTATACAGGTAGAATACAGACTCAGCTACCGGTACCCCTTTATTCTGTTTGTTTCAGGACGGATCCAACTAGCTACTAGCCACCATACACACTTGATGACAAAAGTCCTTGTGTGCAATCTTTCGCCATCACCCTTGCAGAGAAGATCCACCAGGAGGCCCCGCGGCCTTGCGCTTGCGGGTGGGTGCCTCAGTGTCATTGCAAACAGCCAGCTTTGTTTCCTTTTGCGACCACACCGCAGGCTGTTGACGGAGTAGCCCATATTGTAGAAGTGTAATCAGGGTCTGCTTAGCTTCACCAGTGAAATCCAGATAATCTATCTTGTCCCAAATCTGCTCACTTGGGATCAAGCCAACAAATTCATTGAGTCTGATGCTTTCTGCTTTCACGCACCCACGGCCACAGATATTCAAGAGTGTCTGGTAATCTATCAGTCTCTGCTTGCTGTCCCCTTCTGTCCCATCTAGGAAGCATGCCTTGTTGACGTGCAGTTTCATCAAATTTCCACTGTATTCAAACAGTACACCGCCTGTTACAAGACTCTTGCAAACCAAAGCCACTTCCAGTTGGGTATTGTTCTCCAGAATCTGAAGTATCTTGTCCTGGTAGAGTGTCACCTCTGCTTGGTTATGCAGATTTTGCAGCCGGAGGTCTGTCAGAGTATCACTTTTGTCGGCAGCATCCAGAAGTGGCAGAAACAGGTCTTCTTCCTCTGTTCTACCATCCACATTAAGCTCCTGGAGTCCACCCTGCACTACTAGGTCACAGAGAAATTCGCAGAGCCCTAGAGTGACTTTGTTTGGGCTTTCAATATCCAAACATGTGAGATTTTTCATTTGCGGCAGTAAGCTGTGCACAGAAAAATCAGGTGGAGGATGCCCACTTGGATAGCGAATGGAAAAGGTTCTGATTGGGCATTTCCCTTCACTGTCTTCCAGCATTTGTCTAGCTGGAGCAATGGCATCCTCCAAAGACCCAGCATTTGCAATGTGCTCGAGTGCACGACAATTGATGTACACTTTCTCTATTTTGTTGGTTTTCCGGCAGAGCATTGTCATCAACTGTGCGAACTCTTCTTTTGTCAAGTCTGCGCGGCATATGGTGAATTCTTTTACTTTCTCCATAATGGTACCAACAGCTCTCATACAATGGGAATCCAGATATGTCCTCATATTGTCGCGGAACGATTCATCTTCTGGCAAAAGATGGTCATCACGCAAGTGGAAGAGGGATTCTTCTGGCAAGTTTGCTATCATTGAGTCCAACAAATTCCGAGGGAACGAATTGGAAAATAGGACAATGCTGAGTGGACAATGGGGGATTGAGCTGTGTGGGTTCGAAATTGCTTCGGGAAAAGCTTGGGCCAGTTCTGTAAGGTTAACTGCAACCTCTGTGGATCTCATGTTGTTGATTGACCGCAGAAAAGGAATGGCTTCCAGGAATATTTTGGCCACCAACTCACAGATCTCATACTCTTCAAGCCCTTTCTTTTCGACTAGAAAACGTAGGACTTCACGGGGTGCTCCCCAGCGAAAGGCATTCTCAAGAACCTCATCCGTCAGTTCCAGGGGATTCTCGTTGTAGGCAGCTTGAACCAGGCGCAATGAAGCTCGGGAAACTGCGAGCACATGCAGGTCAGGAAGCTCCTGCAAGCGTTTGATGGATTGATAATTCATCTTGCTACGCTTCGCTCTGTTGCTAGTCGCCAGCTGTCTTTTGGTTTCTCTTTGGATCCAAGCAAAGGCCGATGGCTCTCTTCGACAACAGAGCGAACGTCTCTCCACACAGCTTTCACAATGACATCCGACAATGAAGACAGCTTTGGATGTTAGGTAGATGTGGTAATACAATTTTTAATCAACTAAATAATATGCAGATTAATTTTAAAAACCTTGACCATAACCCAAAGTTACCTCATCTATGCATCTAGAACTGTCTTCCAAGTCTCGAGAAAGATCCTGGAATTGAACCCTAACCTTTCCTAAAACCCGATTTTGCTGGAGCCTTTTTGCAGCGAAAGGGCCCGAAATGGCGATTTACACCAAATTCCGATTTATACTTGTGTTTCGATTTTATATTTTGGTTTCGATTTTATATTTTGGTTTCGGTTTTATATTTAGGTTTCGATCTTATATTTTGGTTTCGGCTTGATTTTACTGGTTAATTACCATAGTAATTTGGTTTCGACTTTATATTTAGATTTCGATTATATATTTAGGTTTCGGTTTTATATTTAGGTTTCGAATTGATCAATTTGGTTGGATTCATAAAATCGTGATTTCCGGCCCTTTCAGCCCATTCTTGTCTTCTTGTCTTTTTTTACATGCCTCAAATCAAGTGAAAAGTCCACAACCCCGGGAAAGCAATAGTAAGATGGTGGCCTGTGCCAACAATGATCATTCACTGTCTCGTTCAGGGATTCGACGAGGAGACGATGGACTGGAGGACGAAGGAGACGACCCAAGCACGTTGGCGGCGGCTGATCCGGATACAGCAGGAGGTCAAGCAATGATGGAGTGGCCGGCTGCCCAAGGGTACACGCCACTGGGCGACATGCTCGGTCAAGGATCCATACTGGTGGCGATGCCTCCCGGTTCGGTGGATGATGACGAAGAAGGAGACGATTTTCCCTTGTCTTTTCCACCGAATGCATTTGTGGCAGACGCCAATGCTCTATTTGCATTCCCACCCGCCGACGACGACAATGACGATGAATCCGAAGAAGCACACCAAGACGGCAATGCTACAGCCAATCATGAGACTGATGGAGATTTTCGTCAACTAGCCGACAATGCACTCTTTGCGCTGGAAAATGAGTACCAGGCGACTCTGTCGATGCCGTCCCTGTCTTCGCAACCTCCTCTGTCATTATTTGATTCTAATAATACCACCAATCCAACCGAACAATCCACAAAGTCAGAAACTGATGCATCGACTATCCAAGAGAATTTTGCCGATTTTGACTCCCAACAAACCGCCATTAGTAGTAGTACTAGTATACCCACCAAAAAAGTACTGCCTCCCATTGATGCTGCCAAAATTCAACAGGCCATGTCAGGGATCAATGCCAAGCAAGGTGACAAGCTTCAGAAATGGCAAGAGGAACAACAAACCAAAAAGAAGGCACACAAACAGAAACAACAACAGCATGGCATTATACCCCCCACGCCACTCAAAGCATTTCACAAAACGACACCCAAAGCCATTGCAGCCACGGCCAACCTCAGCCGTGCGGCCACGATTGCCGAATGCCTGGAACGACTTTCCCATCTACTCAAATGTCAAGATGTGCTGACCATTCACATCGTGGGAGCCGATCATGTCGAGTGCGACCGCATCGGAACCCATTTTAACCCCCTGGCACGATGGATCAATGACAACCTGTATGCACCCAAGAATCTGGTCCTTTGTTTGGTGGGTCCCAACGTGCCCGCTTCGACAAAAGCTCCCATCAATCTCTTGAGCAGCAATAAGCCACTCCCACGTCAAAGACTCTTGTCGGCTCAAGCCACATGCCATTCCGCGAGCTATCACGACTGGTTGGAGGAACAAGAGAGTGATCGTCTACCCGATTTGATGGTGTGCTTCAATGCCGGGATTTGGGGTTACGAGGAATGGAAACCCACCATTCGATGTCTCGCAGAGAAGAAATTGCAGGCACCCTTTGTCGTGACATCGTATACGTTGGAAGAAGCCGAAGACGATTTCGATGTAATGGAGGAAATCATCGTGGGCGGCGATGCCAAAAAGGACGCCGACCAAAAGTCTCCAACAAAGGCTCTGTTGTGGGGTCCCGAAGTGAACCCGTTTGCCTCCAAGCAAAAGCGAGAGACGGCGACGGCAGTGGAAGGACGAGATTATAGAGAAAACCATGCTTGGCAGGCATGGAGATTCAATTAGACTAGAAAGAAGGAACGTCATTCAACACTCCGGACTGCCGATGATGGTCCGTGGCAACAGGTGCTTTTGTACGGAGCTTGTCTTATTTTAATTTTAATCAGGCTAGAGATCTGAATTTTGCCTTCCTCCATTTAGTTCGTTCCGGTAGCATCATTCTCATTGGTAGCTTGCTATTGTTGCTGCGTGTGCAGTACTAGTAGATCATAATAAATACTCAATATTTGTGTGTACTGTAGTTGTTTTGTAGTAGTATTGTTTCCCAACCCGTTCGTTGCATGCATTCTCCTTACACAATATCGGATTCTTTGGGTTTTTCTTCGGCCGGAGTGTTTCCATCCCCTCCTTCCTCGATATCTACAGACCACCAGTGAGCCGAGAAAATGGGAAGCTTGTCGACCACTCGGGCAATATAGAGCGACTGCGCCGACATGAAGAGAGCTACAAAACCACATATCAGCGAAACGACGGGATCGATCCACCAGAGGCCGGGTTGTTGATTTTGAATCAAAGTGTTGAAAAAGAGTGCGGCACCCAACACGGCTCCAATCAAACTGCACAATCCATCCTTTCGCAAACTGGGACTGCCCAAATGCACGGCATAATTGAACTTGTACAACGCCATGGTACCCGAGCAAAGGATGCTGAAAAAGGCAATGGCCAAAATCAATTCGCGATGCGCTGGTTCGTCCTCCCCCTGCATAAAGTCATCAATGGCCGCAATCAGGATTCCAATTCCAAGAAATCCCATAATGATGGAAATGGCAACCGAAGCGCGTTCTTCGCGTTTCTCGAGTTTCTTTTCGACCGCTTCCGTCAAATCGGCAGGGACGAAAAATCGCCATAGCACAATCACACTCGAGATGAAATCCACCGAGTTTTCCACTCCAAAGACAAGGCACAGAGACGATCCCGTTCGCTGTTGTTGTTTGTTGTGTGAGGTACAGTAGATAGAGAGAGAAAGAGAGAAAGATAGACAGTGTGTAAGAGAGCATGCAAAACATAAAACACGGAACCAGAAGAGCCATCTCTTCCGTCATCATCAACTTGATGATCAGCCGACAAAACCATATACATATACGTACAACATACAGCATCACTCCAGCAATGAAGCACAGCATCGTGACGACCACGCTGAAAATTGAAAGCATGTAGGCATGCTTTGCCGTAGGTTCTGACCAACAAGCCCACATTGTTTCTTGTTGATGATTTGCTTCCGTTCTACACAAACTAACAGGATCGATCGAGGGATGCTTCAATAGTAAAGGTCAGCAACCATGCATCAACAGCAACAAATGATAGATTCGTTCCTCGAAAGGGCGGAACGGACTTTCGATTTGGTCTCGAAAGAAAGCTTTTCGGCCAGGCCAGCAACACGATAAATGGACGTTGCCTTTTTCTAATAATGCCACCAATGCCCAATTCCAGCCGGGGATTTAACCCTACTGGATGAGATCCAAAGGCCCAACAGGTTATCCGGTTCAGCGCACTGATACCGTAGCGCTGCCGCCGAGCTCAATTTGTTGCCGGTTGCCGGGTCCTTGCTTTCATGCCAGCTTCTCTTGGGTTGGTTAGAAGGATGGACTGTACTGTGCTTCCGCACAACCGTAAGTCAGCTAGCCAGCCAAGAATGACAGCTGAGTGACTTGATGAGCCCACTGTGAGCTCTCAGCTCAGAACAGCACAGATTAGCTACATACTTTTGTGAGGGCTCAGCCAACGATGTAGAAAAACCTAGACTTGCTGCACCTTCTGGCATGATGTGACAGCCTTGGCTTGCTGTACTCGTAGGGCTCCAACGATGATGCAAAATGTAATTTCCACTGAACAGAACGAAAGAAAGTCCAGCACTCTCTGCCTCGCACATGAAGGCTGGCTGCAAGGGCACCAGTCTCTCTACTATTCATGTTAGATACAACCCATTGGACTTCTGCCTGTTTCGGTATTGAGACCTATTAGAAGCAAGCAACAATGCGGCAATAGCTCCAAGACCAATTGATCCAAAGGGTTCAAGAGTCTCCACAATGTCACAATGTCTCCATCACGAAATTCGCCCTTTCTTTAGCAGCATGCATCATGAATGTTGTTCCAGTCATCCCATTGGCAATCACTACTAGCTAGAGTAATACTGTAGAATGTTAGGCGACAACGCTCACAAACCTGCATGTCACTCACCAACAATTTCCAGCAGATACAGGTATCCTCGTTCAGTTAAAGTCGCTGATCCAGACTGATCAGCACTAGCGCCCAACCTGTTGCCTTTCCTCTTTGATTTCTTTCCCATGCTCCCATCCTGACAACACAGCTTTAGAAAGAACATAGATGTACATGTAAGTCCGCTGCCTCTCTCTCTCTTAGCCCCTTTGTTGGTTTTGGGGTGGCGATCTTGGAATCTTTGGCAACGGTGGTTAGAGTTAAGGTTTTTTGCTTTGCAGCAATCCCGAGCCCAAACCCACGACGCGCGGTTCGCACCGTAGCCACAACCACTCAAGAATCGATGGCCAAGAAATGAGTTGCCCTCCAACAAAGGCAAGCAACGAAGTCGTCAAGCCGCCGTCGAAAGTTTCAAAGGCGAGCTCCAAAGGTCTTGCTACCCACACACACATACACCCAAGCATTTGCCATTGGCTTCCAGTTCATTTCAGTTACTTTTAGTGAGATTGGAGAAACGTGTGTACCTACTTCGACAGCCAACCTTATGTATTGTAGTGTCAAACGTGAACTATCCAGAAATATACGAGAAAGAGCTATTGAACAATCCACACTACTGTTAAGAAAATCCAGAAAATGTCGTCATCGTCGACCATTGTGAATGTGGCGGAAGATGCCGAGCTTCGTTTGGTCCGTGTGCTGTCTCAGACCGCCAAGAGTGAATCCTTTATCCAAGATTGTCAAGCCTGCATTCGCAACGGTAACGCGGCTCAGCTCGTGCAGACCGTGGTCAAGGATGATGGAGCTCTAGGGGCTCTATTTGTAATGGAACCAGCCGACGAAGCTGTCTCGGCGTTTTCGTTGCTGACGGCACTCCTGACTCGAGTGGGCAGAGAAGAAGAAGAATCCCTCGCGAAACAATTGGCGGATGCTGTTGCTGGGTATCAAATTCCTGGGGATGGAGACGTCGTCGCCCAGAGAAAGGTATCATTGCTATCAGTCCTCTACAACATGCGAGGGAACGGAACAGAAAAATGCAGCCTATTGGCCAGAATGGTCGAGATAGCAGGCGCTAATAACCCTGGCCTTTTGGAGCAAGGAAAGCCGCTGGGAGATATCCTCCATGATGATCTAGACAGCAATCTGCCGACTGTGGGTCCCAAAACTCCTCGCATTGTGGCCATGCTGGATGCCTGGCAAGTACCTGTCCCCAACCGCCGTGCACTGTACCTCTCAGCGGTTCGAGGAGTGGGCGCTGGATCTCCTAGAGAGCAGAGATTTCTATTACTGTTTGTAGAATCATATAAGGACGCGGTAAGGCAATTTGTTTTGTCCCTGCGAGAAGCTTGACGCAATGTTGAATTATCTCACAAATATTGCTGTTCCCTTGTTCTCACTAAAGAAAGGAGTGGATGACCAAGGACTTGCTGTAGCAAAGGAGGCAGCATTGGGGGCCATCATTGATCCCGTTTCCCTCTTTATTCATCAACGAAGCATGCTTTCCATGCCGGCTATCCAGGCCCTTGCAACTCAGCAAGGTAAGTGACAAAAACCACTTCTGTCGCCTGGGAAGAGCTAGCTATGGTTGTGTGGTGTGGTGTTGCTCAATAAATTCATCCCTTTACATGTAATACCATACAGAAACCGCTACTCTCTTCGGATTGCTGAAGGTATTCCAAGAAGGGAAACTGGATGACTACCATTCCTTCATCAACGCCAACGGTGGAGAAGCCCAGGTGCTAAAGCCATACGGCTTGTCGTCAGAAACCTGCATTCGGCAAATGAGGATCTTGAGCCTTTGCTCGCTCTCGGCAGAGCACGAAGAAATTCCCTATTCTGTAGTTGCCAAGACATTGCTCTTACCCAGCGAAGATGAGGTGGAAAGTTGGGTCATTGCGGCTGTTTCCAGTGGCCTTCTTTCTGCCAAAATGGACCAGTTGCAGCAAAAAGTCATGGTGGAACGCTGTGTGGTTCGACGCTTTGACACGGAGCAATGGAAGCTCCTGCAGTCAAGACTAAAAGAATGGAAGCAAAACGTTGGGGGAGTCATCAATGGATTGAAGCAGAGTCAAAACGGATCATCCCAACCCATCTAATTAGAGAAATCTATTTGCGAATACAGTACAACACAAACTTGGTTCAATAGTATGTTACAGAAGCATATGCTACATGCTTGAAGTTTACAGGCATATTGCTTCACGTTTTTACAAAACCACAGATCATCATGCGGACCTGGCAGACAAAATCATTGGTTCGACGAGCACTGATGCTGTGTCTGGAAGCCGCGTCTTTCGTCGGCCAGAAAAGCCAAGCGTCCTTTTGGCGGATCTGAGCAGCTTTCTGACGGTCCCAGGAAGACGGTTGCGATTTACAATGTTGCATTCATGACCGTCAGCGGCTCCATTAGCTTGGCACCTGCTTCTTGCTCGTCTTGAGGAGGTGGAACTCCACGATTGCTTCGACGAGTCGCTCATTGTATCGCGCCGTGAGCGTCCCCGAGTACGACCAAGCAACTCCAGGCGTAGGGATCGACGGAGCTTAGGAGCAAGTTCCCTGCACCTTTGTTCTCGCTTGTGGTGCTTGATTGCGTTCCTCAGCAGTTGCATCTTCTGACCAGTATACGAAGCAGGCAACTCAAGAGCTCTATAGGTTACGCGTGCTGGCACTCGAAGTTTCTCTTCTTTCATCCAAGGATGCTCCAGGATTTCGTGAAGACTCAAGCGTTTGCTTGGATTACGCCACAGCATGCTTTGCAGAAGATCACATGCTTCAGCGCTGAGAGCAACCTTCCAGCTCTCAAGTAGCTCTCTCAAGTGACCGCTAGAAACGACTTTGAACACAGGATCAGTTGTCTTTGCAACCTTGAAAGGAGCGATCCCGGTCAAGAGGACAAACAAGACGACGCCAGCGGAGAAGATGTCCGAAGCAAACGCGTCAAATGCCCCAATTGTAATTTCAGGAGCCCTGAACCGGTCGTCGCCTTTGCTCGATGAGTCTCGGGGGAACAAGAGTCGGCATTCGCCTTCTGACACATCGGTGACCCTCTCTGCATTAAATGGGTCTCGGAACGGAACGCGATCGGCATTGCTTAGGTCGCCGACTATCAGGGCCATGTTGTCGACCAGAAAAAGGCTCTCAAAGCAGAGGCCGCCATGATAGAGCCCTTTGTGTTGTAGGTGAAGCAAACCCTACATGTAACAGATCAAGTACGGATGCAACGACGTTGAGTCGAAGGATGCCGTGTCGAACGGTGACAAATCATGCTGAGTCGGAACACTTACCTTGCAGATTTGGACGAACCAACTGCTTGCCAACCTTTCATTCGGCTGGACAAAACCATCGGTATCTCTGGGGACAGACGCCTTGTCTGCCGCAGGCTCAATCCTCGATGCTAGCGTGGTCTCGGAGCAGTGCGGCATTACGATGTAAACCTTCTGGTCATCCTTGAGTGTCTCCAAGCAGCCTTGCACGTACTCGCTCGAACTTCCTACGTATTGAAGCACAGAAGCTTCCTGTCGAACGAGCGAATGTTTCGAATGTGAGATCGACTGACGAGAAGGCTCCGATGACACTTATTTCTGTATTTCTGTCAACCTACCTGGATGACTAATTGTCTCTGGCAGCGATCAAGCTTTTGCCACGGGAAAACTTTGATAAGCACAATCTGTTCTGTACTTTCCCATTCAACCCCGAACAGAGATTCGTTGGACGTTGTGTTGCGGCTATTGTTGGTTGGCCTGAGAACGACAGCTGCCCAAGTTTTGGATACCCCTGGCTTCTTCGCTACCACTTCTTTGAGAAAGTACGCAATGTCGCCACAATTCAATGAGTTACTTTGCCTTCTCCGAACCAATGCCTTTACAAGATGCCTTTGGTTGCTCTTGTGGTCGATTGCCAGTATATTGGATCTTCGCACGGCCCTGAAGGTTGGGTCTGGGTATCTTAACGGAGCAGCTGGTGGGCTATGCACATCAACCCTGCATGATTCGACTTCATCGCTGCAGTAGAAGTTCAGCTCTGTTTCAAAGGATGGATTCATTGCTTTCTTTCCCAATTTGTGAGCTGTGGTGAAGATGAAAGCTCTGGTACTTGCTGGCTCTGGGTTGTTTTACTGCTGGCTGGCTAGAGCTACTAGATAGAGGGCATCTATTTGGTGTACCACTGATCACTGATTGAATCGAATCGAACTGAACACAGAGTTGGTCACCTCGCCAACGGAGTCGACTCCCACCGACAAAGCATCTGGAATGAGGACTTAGAAGTGAGTCATACTTTAGTGACAAATTCAACAAAGCATCCCAGACTCAGCGTCGTTAACAGACATTATGACGGCACAATGTCCTACCAAAGGTACTGAAGATTCCTAGTAGCAGTGGTAGTACTCCGATTTGTACGATGTACCACTTCAAACCGAAAGGTATGAGCAGGAGTGAGAGGCAACATTCAAGGAAAGCCAAGCAAGGATTACGGGCAAACAACACTACTACCCAGCAAGGACACGCTGCTAATGGGGAGTAGGGTCTTGGCCAGCTTGAATTGGCTCGTGAGGACATTCTTGTCTGTGTAGCATTAACCCAGCCTTTCAGTGGCTGAATGATGCAACGGTTCATTCAAGGGAACGAACTTCTCTGGATGCATCTCAAGAGAAGGTAGGTTAACTAAGTAGGTGTCAATTCTACACAAGATGTTGCCCCAAATGTCCTCCTTGGATTATGCTCTGTTGATGCTTTTCACGAGAATCTAAGTAGCACGGGGATCGAAGCGCTCTTCTCACACTTGTCTTCTATTAGTATGCAGCATTGTTAGAGCTGGGTTGCCTCCATAATCGTGATTGTGTCTTACTTGGACTTTAGATTGATTGATTGATCACAATGATTAGTAGTTATTATTTGCTACTGCGCCGAGGGCTTGCTTTTACTATTTAGAGCGGAAGTAAGCATTAGATTCACAAGCAACGTGTGTCCTGTTTCATTTCCAGGCTCGGTTCCTACCAGGGGTGCCCACGGGTTAGAACCTTCAAAAACTGCTTTGTCTGCCAAGGGGCAATCAGTACCGTACTCTTAACTCATACCGGTACGACCCGGTGGTACACCCACTGCATTTTAGAGTGTCATTGGTTTCTAGATTTTGATTTGACTAGACCGGTACCAGACTAGCTAGCTAGACGGAAACGATTTGACAGGCACGTCATCTTAAAATATTATTTTGGTTTGACAGTCCATCGGCTCTTTGCCTGGCGCCGTGTCTTCAAATATCAGCGGAAGGCGCCAGCACCTCAAGATTAACATAAAAGCTATCATATACTTCTTCCTTATTGCCTCTCCTCGCCATGCCTGATCTTGCTGACCTTTCTCTTCGTCCAGGCACTCTCAAGCTGTTCCAGCAACGTGGCTTTACCAACACGGCAGAAGTTGAGAGGTCTCGGGAAAACGGAGGTCTAGCAAATCTGGCAGCAGAGCTTGGATGCAGTCTGAGACAGGCCAATGATCTTTTTCGAGAGATTTCAGGGGCTGCCCAACCCATGGGACAGGCGAAAACCGCCTCACAGCTTCTGAATGTTCCAAATAACAATGCCAAAATGGGATCTCGGAAGCTGGTTACCTTTTGTCGCTCTGTTGACAGTATGTTGGGAGGAGGCATTGCTCTTGGAGAAGTCACGGAAATTGCAGGTGTTCCAGGGAGTGGAAAGACACAGCTGGCAATGCAGCTAAGTGTGGATGCACGGCTTCCCATTCAATATGGCGGTGTGGAAGGAACCGCCGTCTATATTGATACAGAAGGCAGCTTTAGCCCGGAACGATGTTACACCATGGCGTCTGCCTTGGTAGATCACGTGAAAAAATCAGCAGAGAAGCGAAAAACACAATGTCCTCCAACTCCACAATGGTTCCAGCCAAACACAATTATGCAAGGCATACATGTTTTCCGAGCACACGACGAAGCAGCACAAATGTCAATCGTCATGGGGTTACCGGACTTTCTTCGAGACCAGGAGCAGCAGGGGTCCCCAGTCAAGGCAGTCGTTGTAGACAGCATTGCCTTTCATTACAGAGTAAGTGTTCTCTCCTTCTGCGAACATATTTCAACCAAGTGGAGATTACTCATCATGAATCTTGTCCGTGCCATTAGTGTGCTCCACCGGGTGGGAATTATCTGGCACGGACCAGATCTTTGTCCACAGTTGCTTCTTTGCTGTCAGATATGGCCACAAAGTTCGATCTGGCAGTCATTGTCATCAACCAAATGACAACTAAGGTAGCCACTACTGCCAACACCACTGATACTGAATCTGTTTTGGTTCCAGCTTTGGGGGAAAGCTGGGCTCACGCAACAACCACTCGTTTACTGATTGCATCGGAGACTAACAACAACAACAATCGGACCTGTACTCTGACCAAGTCACCCAACCGGCCTAGTGGAGTCTCTACCTTCAAAATATTGGAGGCTGGAATACGCGACATTGATCGACACTAGCTAGCTTTCTGGAACCGTCGTGGAAAAGCTGGGACCATAGAGGCACTACCTGTGTGGAATGATGTCCAAAGCATGATGAAGCTATTAGCTTCTTTATTACATTAGAAGAACAACATCAATCTGCTGGCTAGCTCCTCGTAAATGATAGTTAGTATTCATTGATGTTGGGCTTCCAGGATTGGGCTCTTGCTCTAACCTCATGCTGATGATGGGGCTTGCTCCATCACTTGTGAGCGGGATCCTAATGCATCCCCGCATTTGCTTCTGCCGTACAGTACCGGTAGCTAGTTGACCCGTGCTGGCTGGAGCCACAGTGCTGAGCGTCTGAGCATCGTCAGATGATTCGATCTTTCTCCTTTTGAGGTTTGCTATCTACCGATAGCTACTAGAAGGCATACTGGTAATATGACTGGCCAACAAGAGTGACGACGAGGAGGATGGGTACAAAAACTTGATGTATAAAGTACAGCTGCTTATTGTTACAAATGTTGCGTTTTGACGTTCAGACAGAAGCCCGAAGATTCTCGGGTGCTCGTTTCTTTTGTAGCAGGAGCTTGAATTTCCCTACAAGATCCCTCGCCCCCTCTGAGAGCTTCCGGCGATGACCCTTAGGAGGTGCAGTTGCGATTATCTGTTGGTTGTCCTCGTGTTCAACCGTGCTGCAATCTGAGGTCTCATCCACGGTGGTCGCTTGAGAGGCCGCATCTTCATCTTTGCCTTCCGAAAGGTCAGACTCAAAGACGGTCGCCATTGGAGCCATGGCTGGGGCATTTTCCATGGGGAAGCGCTCGCCCAAAACCCAAGGGTGGTCCATTACATCCGCAAGCGTAAAACGTTCCCTTGGATTCGCCCGCAGCATGCCCTGTAACAGGTCCAGCGCCTCCGGACTCAACGAAACGCCCAAGCCCTGCAAATAGTCCTTGAGTCCTCCACTGGTAATGACTTTAAATCTCGGGTCCGCGCGTTGGGCAAGGGAGAAAGGGGCAACACCGACCAGCATTACAAAGAGGGTAACGGCTGCAGCCCACAAGTCTGTTGCGTGGCCGTCGAAAGGCCTTTGATCTAGCATTTCAGGCGCGAGGTACATGAGAGCACCACACTGCCCCTGGGATCGCATCAGCCGTCGGATGGACCCCTCAGACACATCCGTGACACCATCCATGTTGCATGGATCGTTGTAGGGGATGCGGAGGGAGAGGCCTGAATCAATCAGGACAAGGTTGTCGTCGGCATCCAACAACATGTTGTCCAGGCACAAATTGCGGTGGCAGATTCCTTTTCGTTGTAGGAAGAAGAGCGACTAACAAAAGAGAGACAGCAGGGGAAGAAACTATTGAGCTGCGATCCAGGGAATCCGTTGAGATTTTCAGGTACTTCAAATGCTCACCTTTGTCAATTGTCCAAAGTATCGTCTCGCCTCCTCTTCGTCTGGGTACATCTGAGCACTTGAGGTATCAAACTTGCTGTAGAGTTCTCCTCCGGAACAGTATGGCATGACGGTGTACAAATGTTCCGCATCCTGAAGGACTTCATTGCACCCCAAAACGTGGTGTTCCGCTGCGCTGCCGTTGCCAATGAGTTGCAAAACTGAAATCTCCTTGATGGGGTCTTCTAAGTGTCTACCCCTCATCGCTTGGATCCTGGCCCACGAAGATATCTTGATGGCGACGAATTCTTCAGTGCTCTGCCACTTCGCTTGAAAGAGACTTCCATTGGTTTCATCAGGTGTTCGCTTTAGAACCACGCCGAGCTTGATAAACCCATAGGCGGTCTTTGCAATCTTCTTCTTCAACAAGTAAGCTGTCGTCGCATCTCCAGTTCGCGCCAATACGTTCTTCAGGTGGTATTCAACACCAGTGCGGTGGTCGAATGCTGTGATACTGGTCAGCCTTCCCTGATAGACAATCGGAGTGGGGAACTCCAAAGGTCTTGTGGGCTTGCCGCCATCAGCAATCTCATCATGTGTCAACGAAGCGTGGCAATCATCATAGTCCCCGTCGCAATGACTAGATTCTTCTTCTTCCCAATCATACATGTTGTTGTTTGTTTCTTATCGGATCTTGTATCTTGTGCGTTGTATTGTATGTCATACGCTTTCTAGCTTTCGGAAGCAACAACTATGAGATCTTTCAGGTTTTTCTGGGTCCAGCAATGACAGAGAGGCGAGGCGGCGATTGCCCCAAAGCACACGGAGCAAAAACCCAAGATAACCAATCTCGGGTTTTGTCGTGGCAAACTGAACCGATGAAAAATGTCCATGGCGAGCACCTGGAAGCTTTTGCGGAACACTGCCGGGAGAAAAATTGGAGAGGTCAGCGGGGTAATGAGACTCCCACGATGAATGGTTTAGCACAGAATTAGTCTGAAAATACATCTGAAACAAATATTAGTGATAACATAGAGTACGTTTTAGCACTTCTAAAGTTTTGGCTTCACTTGAAATATCTTACACGATTCGAGGCCTGTGCTCTGCTCAAGCAATTTACGCGATAGCCAAATTCAAAAAGAATGTGTGTGGGTGACAACAGCTCCCACTCGGAGCAACGGTCAAATCCCGCACAGCACAGGCAACGGTTTTGATGAGCAGAGCAGTCCCGGTCTACGTACCGGAACACACATGCTGGGTACGAGGATGAAGATGTCATTGGATGAATGACGGCCGATCTTTCGCTCCACTCCGAGTTCACCAGGAAAGCTACGATTGCCAAACAGAGACGCACCAATACTTCTATTGTATCCTCGCCTTAACTGGCTTGACGCACCCCAAGAACGGCGGAAACATTGACTTTCCTAAGGAGAGTGATTCGGCTATCACCGTTACCGATACAGGGAAGGCAATCGGCAACTGATGAGATATTGCTACTCCAGGTGTAAAACAGTCATACCCATGCAGCCCACAGGGCTACCGGTACATGCCCAACAGTATCCCCATGTTAAGTTTGCTGCTGGTGCCGATTGGAGATTCTGGGAGGTACCAGGAAGCACAATGTCGCTTCACTGGCCTGCTGATACCACCGGTGCCGCTATGATGGTGTGGTCACACGGAACCAGGAATGCAGGAATGTTTCAATCAGATCGATCCACCGACGCTTGGCGTTTACCCTCGATCCTCGAGCGGCCTTTGCAAAACATTAACTGTCGGCCATAGTGATAGGATTGTTTGTCAGCCATATGCAGCCATCACATCTCTCAAGGCAAGCACATTGCCCCACCCCAACGCCTCCACAAGCTTTCCTAAGAGCTGTAGGGATAAAAAGTGCGACAGACAGAGACAAAGAGGAGACAAACAAAATCTGATAGCGAGCTACTTGAGTACTACTACTCGAGTGCTACTACCGTAGCTCAGCCAGCTTTTCCCAGCCAAGGACAAGCAGCGGTGGAAACACTACTAGTATCAAGGTAATGAAGTAAGGTGTTTCTTGCTTGGGTATTGACAGGATTGACCAGTGGAAGAGGCCAGCCTCAGGTGGTCTCTCCTGATGAAGGCTTTTAGATTGAAACCACTAACTAGCTACTGCAGCCATCTGTTGCTGGGCCCTACAATTTTTACTAGCTAGCTAGTGCCAATTGACTCTTATGAGATAGTTGGAGTGGGCGGACAATCAGCCTGCACGGGGAAAATGGCAGTAGCAGTAGCGGAGGCAGGACAAGACAGAGCACCTGAAAAACGTTGGGTTGATTCATTTTGAACAAGCTCGTACATGTGGCGGGCGTGATACAGAGCGAGAAATGAGACTTGACAAACAAATAACTTAATATAACTAGGAGTGTGTATTCACAAAGCCTTGCTGGTAGTCTTGGTGGTCATGGCCTCCCTCTTGGTCTGGCTGGCTGGGCTGCTTGGTGGGTGTGGTACCAACCATTTGGGTTTTGCTTTTGCAACAGTTACTGTTGGGCCACGTGGCTTCCTCGGACAAAGGATCAATCAATCAATGATCCTACATATAGCGAATGATAGGACCTGGCAGCTGCTTTCACCAACCAGAAGCAAGCAGGCGGCGGAAGAGGACGTGCTGGTGGTGATACTGGTAGGTTGGGACTGGAGTTTCATGTGCGGTACCGGATGAGAGTACCGGCTTGCAACATGTCTGGGACTTCTGGAAGTCCCCCGATGACGTCAGTTTCGCGAGTTAGCGACCGATCAAATCGCTAAAATCGCGCAACTCATGCAACTCGCGTCCAACTCGTGATTCAACTCGCGCAAGTCGTATTAACTCGCGGTTCAACTCGCGGTGACTCGCCCAAGTCGCACATTTGTCGCTTAACTCGCGATTTTCGTTTGATGCAACTCGCAATTTTTGAACCACTGTACAGGAGCTATCAAGATGACAAGAGGAGCCTTTACGGCCACTGTTTCCACTCCTATTGCATTAGTTACTACTGCTGTATGCATCGATTTGACCTTTACGGCTGAGCTCTGGTCGACTTTTGACCTTGACACCCTTCTTTTTCTTTTTGGCCTTCTCATCAGCCACCTGCATTGGATTCTTTCCATATGGTTTGGCTGCTTCCCTCTTCTGGTCTATCTTCTTACTCAAAACACGATGAGGGAAGTCTTGGTAGAGGGCATTACCTTTTCGCATCTCTTTGGGTGTCTTCTCCAAATGAAGCCCAGCTGCCATGTCAGTTTCAAGTTGTTTGTCGGCATCACATCCAGGACGCCAAATCTTTTTCCCATTTGGGAAATGAGTGGGTTTGCCATATTTGGCTCGAGCTTCAGCAAGACAATCAGCATCATAGTCACGAGCCCACTTGAGCCTTTCAACAGCCTTCTGAATGCGCTCAAAGCGAGCTGTGTAGCGGTCTAAGTCCCAAGGAAAATTCGCGAACTCTGGCCTTCCTTTGTACAGCTTGATGAATACGTCTTCAATGTTGAGTTTCTTGTCAGGAGGAACGAGCCCATCAAGCATGTCTTGAACAATCTGATGTTTGGCATCACTTGATCCCCAATCAGCACCATTCAAGGCGGCTGGAGGTCGATTCTTGTCATCCTTCTTGGGCTTCGGTGCAGCCTTGGATGGAGCCTCACGCTTCGAGGTTGCTGTTTCTTTTTCGATTTTGGCATGCTGGGTTGTGGAAATCAACCCCCTGTTGTTGCTGTCGTTATGTTCAGTTGGTGCTGTTGCCAAGCAATTGCTTAAGTTGATGTCGATGTTGAGACAACAATATTCAAACATTTAAGATGAGGTATTGGAGCTTTCATGATAAACGGCATCCAAAATTCAAATCCAGGCTATCTTCTTTCGTTCTCCATCGACTGCTTGGTGGACACTTGAGGCTCACAATGCAACTTCGAGGCAAAAGAAAATCTGCCAAAACTGCTGTACACGAGGAGGATCTTGGAGACAACCTTTTTGCTTCTGCTGCTGACGAGGCGTTTCTCCCACGACTCAGAAGACCAGTGACTCACCCCAGTCGGAGGTCAAGGGATAGAGTTCATGAGTACCGGAAGAGCGCGCATAGTCTGCGCAGCATATTCCACACTGTGGTCCACGATGGATGCACCGTGGTCCCATTTAGCACTCATGTCTCGATCCTACCCGAGTCGAATAGGTGCCATGTTTGAACCAAAAGCCGATGCCGGCTTGCGCCGTTCCGTTTCTATCAGTCCGAACCTTGACAACGAAACCCAATAGACTTGATAGATCGTAATGCTCATAATATTCTCTTTTACTGTTTGCCATTGCACGTCTTCCAAAGGTCTAGTTGAAGCTAATCACGCTACGACGCCAACCCAAGGAAGAGAGATTATCACTTACGAAATAGGATTTCAGCAGATTAACAGTCGCAGTTACGTCCCTACGCAACTGCACAATCATGTCCGCCGCTGCCCGTCGAACCGCTGATCGCGACAAGCTCAAGCATGTCGTGACCATCATGCTCAACAATGACGAGACCAACTGGGAAACTCACGATGTCATGCTTGCCCTCACTCACTTTGGAGTCGATACCTTCTCGGACCTCATGATGATGGAACGCAAAGACATTGAGTCTCTCGTGGTTCCAGTCACTGGAACCGTTGCAGAACACCCTCTTGGATTCAGTCAACGGCGACAACTCCTTGCTGCGATTTGCTGCTTTCATCACATCTGTCGAGAGCAAGCCAAATCCATCGACGTCACGTCAATCAGTTTCGCTAACTTCCAACGATTCCGCATCGGACGATGGGATCCATCAGCGGAAGTGGTCCCGTGGCTCACGACACGAGCTCCTGTATCCGCCGAAGCAGAGATTGAACACTGGAACAAGACGGTCAAGATCTCTCGCAGCGACTACAAGGAGTTCCGTGACGAAGCGTTCTGGCACAAGTGGAGCGAAGATTTCCTACTCACTGTAAAGTCTCACCGTTTGTCTCATCTACTCGAAAAAGGATACGTGGCGGAGAACCCGTCACTCGATCGCATCCAACGCGAATGGATGTACAAGACACTCTGTGACACAATCAAGACCACAGCTGGAAAATTGTTCCTCACTCAACACCTCAAGAACAGTGAAACTCGTCTATTCTGGGAAAAGATGTCCAATCACTACAAGACGTCGATGACAGCGACCATTCGTTCCTCCAAGACCTCGACCTGTTTGACCACTGCAAATTTATCAGACGGATCGTGGCGTGGAATTCAACAGAACTTCATTCTGAACTTCAAGGAACAAGGTCGAATCTACAACGACACCTCTGTGCATGACAAGTACTCCGATGGACAACTCGTACAGTTCCTTGAGCAAGCTGTCTCTGGCGTGCCCAACCTATCCGGTGCACGACGCGTGGATATGTTTGCGCGTAGCTCAGCCAAGAATGAGGACACCTACAGCTTTGAAGATTACACCGCAAGCCTGCTCTCGCTAGCAGCCATCTACGACGCAGCTCACTCTGGTACATCACGATCCAGAGGAAACTCACGATGAAGCTCATACAATCATGAGCTCATCTTCGAACAAGACAATGAGAACCATGGATACGAATCTCATGTACACGACTTTGACACGACCGTCGATGAACTACTTGAGGTCCATCAATCAGACCGTTCTCACCACTCTCCATTTGATCGTCCTTCTTGCAATACACCGCGACTCGATCCTAGATAGGGTTTGAGTTCGACTCATGACGTAGTCCTTCGCGAATAGTCATTGAGACAGGGTTCTCATGACTGCTAGTCATACTAGGTTGTCGATGAAACATCGCTCTAGATATTTAGCCGGCGTGGAAAGCTTCCACGCTACTAGACAGCTACTAGCTGAAGTTTCCACGTGTTCCGGAAATGGACCGTGGAGTACGTAGAGTTATGGCCATAACCTACGATATCACACTTCGAGGCCTCCCGCGGGAGACCAACTTCAATGAGCTTCACAACGATCTCTCTCATGGATTAGTTTTCGTAGCTTTCTAATCTCTCTCATAACTTTCATTCTCTCAAACTCAAAACACTCGAAAGATCTTTACACTAGCTTTTAGCGTAGTGCATTTTGTTAACAAACACAATAGCTTTCAGCTACCCTCAACCTATTCCTTCACCATGAAGATTGCTCAAGGAAAGCATGCGTTCACCAACTTCGAGAAACAGTTGCGTGACAAACCCATTCTTCCTCTCGTCGACAATGACGAAGACGCCGAGATCGACGATTCTCGTGCAACCACCTACAAACTTCGCACCGTTCCTGCAGATGCAAACAGTGCCAAATACACCTTCAAGGTAGCCATCATCAATGGTTCCAACACTCCACGTCAGACCATCAAGTGGGCTACGAATATGGAGAAGGTCTTCGTTGGACTCAACCTTGCCAACGCCGACGACAAACATCGCCTTCTCAAGGAGATGACTTCCAGCTCTGCGAAGAGTGCCTACGAAGCTGGGTGTGCAGGCCATCGTGCCGTGCGTCATAACGCCCTACGACAAATTGCTGTGAACGCAGTTCCTCCACGCGATGTGACTTCTGGAGAAACCGAAGCAGCCTTCCAGGCTCGTGTCCAAGCCGCATGGGACGGTGCAGCGGAACCCGCTCTAAGCGATGCTGACATCACCTTTGGAATCAACGCGGTTATCGAAGCAGCCTGTCCTTACAAGGCTCTCAAAAAACAGAAACGCTTCATGCGTCGCAAGATGCGCAAGCCTAGCGAGATGACAACTCGCGCCTACATCAACAACCTCACTCGGATGAACACCGATGAGCTTCCACGTTTGCCACCTTTCGGTGTCAATCAACAGTTGAACCAGGACGAATTCATCGACATCATCTGTCATGGCATTCCTCGTTCCTGGATGTGCAAGATGGACGAACACGACTTCGATCCTTTCACTGCCGAGATGACAGCGCTCATTGGATTCTGTGAGCGCATGGAATCCGCTGAAGACTTTGACAAAGGCAGTGATGCCAAGCAAGCTTCTTCGAAGAAGAACAACAGCAAGAAGTACAAGTCTACTCGCAACAACGACCATTCTTCCAAGAGCGAAGAAAAGTGGTGTGATTACCACGAGTCCAGCACTCACAATACTGCTGATTGCATGACTCTGAAGAAACTCAAAGCCAAGTCCTCGTCTGACAACGATAGCAAGCCAGCGTACAACAAGAACAAGACTTGGAAACGCAAGTCTGACGATGCCAAGTCCTACACCAAGAAGGAACTTTCTGTCCTTATGAAGAAAGTCTCCAACGCTGCGGTTAAGGCGGATCGCAATAAGAAAAGCGAATGCAACCATGTTGCCAAACGCAAGTCGGACGACTCTGACAACGAGGATGACTCCTCTGCCGGGTCCCTCAACATGATGGACAAGAAAATGGCTGCAGTCGACAAGGCTCTTGCCGACTTCGACTTCAATCATTCAGATGGAGAGATCTCCGTCTGAGGATTAGGCCAGGATGATGATTCAACGGAACCATGTTCCGATTTCTCATACCTAAGTGATGAAGATATCTCACTAACTAGTAAACAAGAATTGTTTGCAACTGATGAAGTCTACGGCAAATTAGATAATTGCCTAGAAACTGCTCAACTAGATTCTGACGATCTATCCAGCATTGTTAACCTCGTCCGTGGCCAACCACCTCGTCAACGTCGCACGACAAGAGACCTCAAAACTATCGTCTATGTTAGATTTAACAGACGAGAAAAAGGGAAACAAAAAACCGTTATACTCCGTTGCTTGCTGGATACAGAAGCATCCGGAACCTTGATTACCCAAATTCATGCTAAGAGATTAAGCATGAAGGATCATGGGGGCGTCCAAACACTATGGACTACCCCTGTAAAGGAATTAAACCCCAGCACGAAGTGTAAGGGTGCACTTATGACTCCTGAGTTCCACGATGATAGAATTATCGAATGGAACTTGCACGATACCAAGAACTTGGGGGCGTATGACATGATCATAGGTCGAGACATTCTCTCCGATCTAAGAATCAAGTTCGACTTCACTACCATGTTAAGGCAGATATGCCAGAGTCAAAACCAGGTAAATAAGGAAGAGCAGGAACCGCTTCATGCCTTATTGACCAAGTGCTCCGAAGGCAACAAATGGACGACTACGAAGTAGAACTTCGTCCTGACGCTAAACCCTATCTCACTAGGGCTTGCCCTACTCCACGTGTCCATACCAACACTCTTAAGACAGAGGTCGAACGTCTCTGCGATGCAGGAGCACTTAAGAAGGTAAACCGTTCTGAGTGGACGGCACCAACATTTATCATTCCCAAAAAGAATGGATCTATACGGTTCATCTCTGACGTCCGGGAACTGAACAAAAGGATTAAGCAAAAACCTTGTCCGATCCCAAGGATCCCAAGACACGGAATCCCTGTCCATTTCATTGCTTAACAATGATTGATCCCGTAACCGAATGGTTCGAGATTGCCGAGATCTGATCCAATGCAGCAGACGAAGTAGCCATCGTTCTAGAACAGACGTGGCTCACCCAGTATCCATGGCCTGCTGAGGTTATCATGGATAGAGAACGTGAGTTCCGTGCAGAAGTCGAGAAGACTCTCCGGAATGAATGTGGACTTCGTCGCAAGTTCATTGCCACACGTGTTCAATCGTGACGCGATTCACAAAGTCCGTTTCGAAGTAAACTGGATACACATCAAAGAACGTCGCCAACGACTCATCCAGAAAAACAAGGATAAGGGAAACACGACGCGTGTCCCTCATCAATACAATGTCAACGATACTGTGAGGTTTCAACAGTATCAGCACCGCAAGTACGGTCAGCCAAAGTACAAGGTCCTTACAATATGGACCGAGTCAATAACAATGGCACTGTACGGCTCCAACATGCTACCGCCAATGGCGGCACAGTCTACCAGACTTGGAACATAAGGTATTT